ATGTCGACTTGTCAAGATAATCTATCTCGCCATGACAACATAACATTTTTACTATGTCGACTTGACAAGAAAATCTATCTCGCCATGACAACATACAATTTCTATAATGTCGACTTGTCAAGATATTCTATCTCGCCATGAGAACATAACCTTTTTACTATGTCGACTTGACAAGATAAATTATGTCGCCATGACAACATGACATTTATACTATGTCGACTTGCCAAGATAGTTGATCTCGACATGTCGACATGATATATCTATATTATATCGACCTGACAACATATTATCTTGACAAGTCGTCAAGTCGAATGGCACTTAGGTGCTTCCGTATGAATCGATATTTAAAAAAATACAATAGGCCTACATTATTAAATAATTGGAAATTCCAACATGCTAATGACTTTATTCTTATTGGTTGATTTAAAACTTACGACATAACCTTTGATTCCTGAGATATAAAAGATTCTACTTATTTAGTAAGAGTCGTTCAGAAGAGTCAGTTGGCAGAGAGTCAATCTCAAAATTCACCAACAATCCATTCAAAGGTAGGTCTGTTACGGAACGCTATCTTAAGCTTAGTTGTCACTTATTATCAAAATACGTTCTTGAACAATGAATCAAGTTTTAGTGCTGGGAATTGTCCTAATGAATAGAAGGGAGGGGCACATGTCCTGTGAGCAATGTGAGTGTAATTTGCCTTTGTTAACAGGGTTGGCGGAAGGGATTTTTTTTCTCTCTTATTGTTTTAAATTTCTATCTTAAATTTTTTTAATTTTCTCATTCCACACATTAGCCCACGGTATGGAGTCAATACCAAACTGTATTTTCCATTTAAGTTCCGCTGGGGGGTTTGTTTAATAATGATCTATATAATTGCTTAGACGTCATAGTCAGTATCTTATTTTCCGTGATAGGTGTGTGGCTAATTATATAATATATGTATTGTTCAATACACCTCCCTTCAAATGGTTGTCGGCAGGGTTTGCCTGGCGGGATCCGAAGTTACCGGCGGTTCCCATCTCTGACGAGTATATGTGGGCGTGGTAGAGTGTACATCAAAGTATCTCTTAAGCGGTCGGGGGTGAAACCCTAGCAATAATAATGATTTTTGGGTTTTTTAAAGGCTTTTATTTAATTTTAGAGCTGTCTCTTATACACATCTAGATGTGTATAAGAGACAGCATATATATACATATATATTATATATATATGTATATAATTCAAATAAATTTCTCAAAGAATGTTGTCATGTATACGATAATAAAATATATAATTTGCGTAACTACTTAGAAGGATCACTGCTTACGTGTCCGATAAGACTTGGGATATTACTTACAGGAAAACATTTGGCTACAATAGGTAGGATATCCCCTGATTTAACTTTACGCACACATATCTTGAAGCCACTAATCATTCGGCAACAATATACCACGACAAGTATTATAATCTTATTAAAAAATATTGCTACTGAGTATCATCTTAACATGGTACAATAATAAGAGAATTATTTAATATCGTCGGGTTTGTGATCTACTTGTAACATTAACCAAAGAAGATTCGATATCTATGATACTTCGGTTTAGTTTAGCGGTTAACTCTAAATGTAATAATATACAATTCTTCATGGACAAGCAGTTTATTTTTCTCAAATCATAATAATATGACACTTGTTTTTTGTGACCTTAGCCCATAAACGAAAGTGATTGCTGTAAATAATTCATTTTCATTTGTTTTATCACTTAATGATTAATTTTTTATTTTCAAGGTATAACGCCTAAAGGTAATTTATTCATAGGATTAACTTATTAATTAAAGTACCCGGCTACTCAGGTGCTTATACCTTTCATGTCCTTTGGGAAAACGGCTATAAAGTGCTCGTGTAATCGCAGTCTCATTCAGCCAGTGATCTTTCTGAGTATGTATGTACAGATTAAAGCGATGAATGAAATATCAAAATTATGTAGCGAGTGCCGACATATTAATTTGATATGAAAAGAGTTTCTGTTTATTTGCTCTATGTTCATACACACTTCAATATGCTAAAAGGTCGGTGTACCAAATGGATTCAACATCATCGGTAGAAAGACTCTTTACACATATACAACACGTTGTCGTACAGGCATGAGGGTCACGTACTCGTACAGGCATGAGGGTCACGTACTCGTACAGGCATGAGGGATGGTGTGGATTAACGTGAAGCTGGGCAAGCCAACAACTCATGAAATACTCATCCATTTTCCTATGTTTTTTCTAGAGTTAGCGAAAAAAATACTCTTTAATATGATAAGTAGGCCTATATAAATCATTAAAAAAATATTTCGAGATGAAAAAATATTAAACATAAGCCTATTATCTTTTCCAGTGAATAAAATGCAATTTTGTAAAAATCTAGGTCTTTTCAATATCCGTAAGTTTTTTATTCAGTATTACATTATTAATTAATTAATTAATTAATAATAATAATAATAATAAATTATTACTATTATTATTATTATTAATATTATTATTAATTATTATTTATTATTATTATTATTATTATTATTATTATTATTATCATTATTTATTAGTAGTATATTATTCAATCGGGACATCATATTTTACTCCAATTTTATAATAGTACCGGTACGGTACTTTATTATGTTCCTATCACAAACCGTACACTAATAAGCAATTAGTACAGTAGAGCTCCGCATAGTACACTATAGGAAAGTTATTATACGAAGGTTAGATTTAATGCTTGAAAAAAATTCCTGTGAGGGCCTGCAAGGCCCGAAGGAAATTTTTGAATGCATTAAATCTAACCTAAGCTTGTATAATAATTTTCCGCTAGTGTACGATGCATGCTCTACTAATTGCTTTATAAGTCAATCACTGTCTTTTAATTTTAGTTTTTATAACCAACTGTGTTGTACCAGTCATCGGTTGCTAATAGTGATATGATCAGTATACTGTGTGCGTATTTATATTTTGTACGTATGCTGATTTGAGCTCGATCCTGTGCAGTAGGAAGCGCCTACGTACGCGTTAAGCAGTACTGTACGGATACGATGAATAACTAGGCCTAGGCTATTTTGTAATTTGTATTATGTTAGAAAAACTTGTTTGTAATTTTTCACATTCGTCAAAGAAATAAACATTTTTCAAAGCATTCGAGAAAGAATACAGTCACTGTCACTAACTTTTTGGTCGGTGCAGACAGGTAAAAATCTTGGGATGATTTCATAACTACGCTAGGCTATACGGCCTAGACTAGTAGTAGGAGGAGGCTTCAGTGGCTCTCATCTAATTTCGTTCCTTGAGTCTTTAAAATAGGTCTAGAATATTCCTATGAAACGTTCAGTTTGTTTAGATTATTAGGGTTCATTGATTCAAGGAGTTGCTTAATTGTTCATACTTAATATTGAATTTAAAGTAACTTTCTTCGGGTTCTAATTAACCTTGATTTACGAAAGTAATTTTCAATTAAAACAATAAAACAGTAAACTCCGAAAAGAGACAGAGACATTTTGAGATTCAACGTTTCGACCTATTTGATCATTTTCAAGAATACTAATTTTCAATTACAATTCATTTTTTATCGCGATGCGCGATGTCTTCGCGGTGACAAAAAAATGAGGAACTTTTTTTTTACGAACCTAAAAAAAATCAAGCCAAGCGTCCACTAATTGAAAAATTAGTGGACGGTGGAAAATAGGCAAATAACATTGAAAGTTGCAGTGATGACGCCACGATTGACTTATAATTTACATTATTGCTTAGTTGTGCAAGGTGTGCATAAGCTTCTTTATTTAAAAACATTATTATTATTTTTACTTTATATTAACGATATTTGTGCCTTAAAATAGTATCACACAACATTCCAATTAAAAGAAAACTGAAAAGGAATGTAATTATTTGCATTCATGACGTCACGTTTGACTAGCTCTGAGGTGCGATATGAACACAATCTGTTATAATAAAAACAAATGTGTGATATATTACGCATAGGGATAGTTTACGTCATTAGCCGGTTTTTAGACCTAGTTTTCTGACTCATCGATTGAATCAAGCACGTGACTGAAGTCTTCATTTAACATCGAATTGTTTATAACTTAGCAATTGGTGAATGTGCTGTTGATATTATTAGATTGATTTGATTTGTAGTAATAATGATAAAATAATAGTAATAATTATAGGCCTAATTATTATCATTAGACCTATTATTATTATAATGAGAATATATCATACAAAATAATCAAAGCCATAAACGATTATTATATATATATCTGTCTCTTATACACATCTAGATGTGTATAAGGTAATTAATTACCTGTCATCAAATCTATAGATCAAAAATATAGATAAACAAAATTATATTCAAATTCAATTTTTTTAAATGCTAACAAACAGTAAAGAAAAGAAGTCGACAAAGTCGCACATCAAATATCAATCTAATTGATGTTCAATTTTTCTTTACGAAGCTAATAAAAACCTTGATTAACATTTGAAAGATGAAATCGATTGTGTCCACCAGAGACTTAATTACGTATATAAGCATATTAGAGTATTTTTTTTATACTTATGTTATCATTGTTTTATTTAGGTATTATTAGGGGCGAACCGAATGTAACCGATATCAAATCCTCTGACGACTATTCAAGTATCTTGGAAGAAATGACGACAGCCGAAATTACCGATTCGTTATCAACATTGGAACCACTAATATCAACAGAGCAGGTGCAGACATCACCAGAAGACATAACAGAAACAGAGGAACCACAGGTATTATGAATTTTACACTGACTAATTGATTTCTGAGAACAGAAGAAACCCAATACGAAACCAGATAGACAGGCCCGTAGGCAGGATTTTCGATGGAGAGGTGCGTTTTGCAATCGAAGCGGACCTAAGGGGCGGGGAACCTCCTAGTGCTCCACGCGGTGGGGATCCCCAGAGACTCCGACAAATTAGCATTTTGAGGGCCTTATAATGGATTTCTGAAACCCATAATTCGTAATATTCTATTTAAAATTTTTATTCATTTGGTATTGTTTAGGGACCTAAAGCAGTGGCGGATCCAGGAATTCGAAATAGAGGATGAGGGTGGTGGGGGGGGGGGCAGGGAGGAACTTTCACATCAGATCTAAATTTAATTATAATTTTTCTTCTCCATTCCTTTTATAATTTTAGGGGGTGGAGGGAAGAGGGTTCGCGCAAGGGGAATCCGTCACAGTGGAATTGTAATTTGTTCCTTCACATCTGTAGGCTTACAGATAACATGGATCAATCTGCAATCACTAGAGCTGATAATTTCAACAGATTTTGATGCTCATTATTAAAAATCAACGTTAAGCTAATGATAAAGCTGGAGGAGTCATAATTCACAATTTATTCAGTTCTAAATCTTAGGTAAAGGAACATTGTGGCCAAGTTTGACGAATTTCTGATAAAAGTTATGGGCTGTAAGCTGTTAACAACAAATATGCTGACAGACAAATAAATAACTAAATAAAAAAACTTCGTTGGTGGAGGTAATAAAAGCTCAGGTATAATACAGAACATCTAAAATACGGACCGAAAGAACTCCTCAAGGAAATTGCAAAACTACTAAACGAGATAGCTAAGTGGGGAATACCAGATAGAAAACTAAACAAGGAATCCTGATACCTCTGGCCAAACCTGGAAAGAAAAGGGAACCTGCAGGAAATCTACGACCGGTTATTCTATTAAATATGATGCTAAAAGATAATCGCAAAATGTTTGATAAAGCGAATACACAATAAAATAAATGAACACATTCCAATCACTCAAGCAGCGTACAGAAGCGGACGAAGTAGTCTGCAACAGAATTAGTCTTCTCGGCGAAAGTAATGGCAGAAAAAGCAATCATCATGTTCATATGAAGCGATTATCTTACTATTAGCCACGAGTAAAGCTTTCGACACTGTGCAGAAGTACTTTACAACAGGCTGGGGGGGGGGGGGGCGGATGCAGGGGAGGAGTGCAGAGGGTGCGAACGCATCCCCCTAAATTCAATTAAGAAAAATAATTGTATTATATTGTTGATATGAATTATTGGTAAGATTTTAAAGGTATGAGAGTGCATTTTCTGGCACCCAGAGCTCCATATTCTCAAAATTTTCGCGCCTCAGCCCCAACATAGTTGCAGGCAGAGCTGACCGACTGACTAGCTGAATGTTGTATTTGTTACGTACCGTAAATATGATATTTATATTCTACAGGTGTCATCAAAGCCATTAGGTCCATATGAGTTCCAAGTTCTTAACGATGATACAGGTGAAGTCTGCATCAAAGCCCACCTGGAAGCTGAAGTGATTGTACATTATATTTCCTCAAAAAAGGTAAGTTATTCTGTCCAAACTTATGTTGAAAAGTTATGTTTATATGTTTCTCCGCTAACTACAGAATGTTTGCCAAACCCCCAATGCAATAGAGAAATTTCACACGGAAAATTGCATGATTTCAATAAGCCATCTCATAGTTTTTGCTCACCAATGTCAAAGGTCGATGTATATAACACAAGTTGTACAGCGTATGACATTTAAAACTACGAGAAAGCTTATTGTTCTATGAATAAATATTAACCCATATGTACTCATAACCAATCACAAAGAGAGGTCAGTCGGATGACATTTAACAGATTACTGTAACTCACAATTTCTCGGCACAGAAAGATATATACGGTAAATAGTGGAACTGACATTTTAAGTTGCTATCCTACTTTGTGACTAAACATAACATAAACTTTATATACGTTTCTTGTCACCACTTGGCCTCAAGAATACAATCTATACTCAATTGTAATCACATTATTTGCTATCTGGATTTATGAAAATATGGCAATCGATATGACTCTCAGACATGAAGATCGATACAAGATATACATAGGCCTACCCATACGATGCATGAAAGTTTGATAACATATATATTGCTGCCTGAATTATATAGGTATCATTCAAATTATGTTTACATAGAGCAATACTAATTGATATTTATGAAGTGGTGGCGTCAGAGAGAGGGGGTGAGGCCAGCGCCCGTCGGGGAGAGAAAAAACATTATATTTAGTTTTTTTCAGAATGTACAGATTCCTAAATTCTGTGCTGCTTCTGTTCCCGCCCATTTATGCTCCCTTCACGGATATCGGTTCTTCTCCGGGAACATCGACCCACCGTCGGGGACATCTACCCACTCCCCTCACAACTCGTCAGGCATATTCTGGCGCCACTACTCTAATAATAATAATTCTTTGACAAAGACATGCGCTGTTGAAACATTTTATACCTCCATGGTTGAAACAACAATATAAGCCGTGGGGAATAAATCTTTTTCGGAATGTCAATCAAATTTAATTGACTAATCAGAAAAGGGAAAGGCCTGAACTGCCAAAGTTACCCTGCATGCCAATGTTACCCCAGTTTACGGTAATCATAAACAAAATAATCGAGAACAAAATATGCATGCGGAAAAGAATTAAAAAAATAATAGGTAACGATAACACAAAGACATAGAAAATTAAATATCTATATATGCTGTCTCTTATACACATCTAGATGTGTATAAGAGACAGATATAGGCCTATATATAGCAAAAGGTCGATGAACGGTGTATTCATAATCATATCTTATTTCATCTAGACGTCACTGCAACAGGCTACAATTCCCGTCGACCCTAAAGCCAACGTCGATGGATCTTGTAGTTCACAGCAAGCCGTACTCACACTCAAGTGGTCAAAGTTTACTCTCAAAACAACATTCAATATGGTAAGTGGGTCGAAGTTAATTCAGGTGATCTTGTTTCTGACTTATCAATAATTAAAATTAATAATAATACCAAACTTTACCCCCTACTTGAATGGTTACGTCACTACATCCCCCTGTTTAATCGTGATGATATTTGATAGGGAAATTGCAACCCTGAAAACACTGAGGCAATTTGTCTTTTGGACATACACAATCCATCGTCAAAACAAGGTCTGCTAGGCACATAATATTTTTATAAAATCTTATATGGCGTGATCATCAGTTGACTACTAATAAAGAGTTTCAATTTATTTTATGTTATATATTGCGTCTTGTAGATTAACGATTCGCTGAAATGTTCGAATTCAAAGAACGAAAGGTGCTGGATGCTGACGTCTATTCAGTTCACGTATGATTCCAATTCCAAATACTTCAACCACGCTAAAGATGGTAGGTTTTTATTATATTTGTCTATTTATGTATTAATAATAATGCACTTTAAGTATTTTTGTAATGAACTGTCAATGAAAAGACAATGGGAGTCTTAAGATGGGGAGGGACGAAGTGGAGTGGGGCCTTGATGATTAAATCGGGGCGGGGGAGGGCTACGTCACAAAATAAGGTGATTTGAGGTATTGTTTTATCGACTTCAGCGTGATTTTTTTGTTTCAAATGTTTTCAATGGGGCACTGGGCGCAAACCATTTTTGGGGGAGGGGAGGGGGGGGGTTGGTGATAAGATGTTTGCTTTTCAATAATATTCCTTGAGCCGTCTTGATTCATCTGTGGTGATGCTAGTTCCCGACAAGAGGGATCACGGTCCCCGCGGGATCTAAGGTCTCCCAACGAGGAATTTATCCCCGACATTTCCAGTAGTGTCCTCTGGTGGTGAATTGGGTAGTACACCGGAAGACATTCCCCTAATCTTTTCCGAAGAGTGTACTGCATTCTTTAACGTGCACATGAGCCATTTTGCACACGGGACCAACGGCTTAAACGTCTCATCCGAAGGACGGTGCGCTTTTCAAACTTGAATTTCAGCCCTCCAGCTAAAACACAAGGAAAGCAGCGACTGGAATTGGTTCTGTGTGAGTTAAACGCAGACGCGATGGTGTGCGTCGGGGGCAGTCGCGTCGTAGAATATGAAACATATTTAATATTTCTCACGACAGCTTAAGACTGTCCCCGACGATAAATCGCGTCGGGCTGCGTCGGCCGACGCTGTCTGAGTTGGCCTTAAGAATAGATACATTTAGATTACCGTAATAGAAATAGGAATTGCACTCCCAGACTATAAAAATGCTTTTTCAATAAAGTGTTCCGCAGCGAAAAATTAAGTGGCTTCTTCCCCGACGGATGGTTTTGTGACGCCCTGGACACCAAGCGGGTGCCTCCACTGTTAAGGGACATGATGTGTTGCTTAGAACCAATAAACCCACTTACTAAGCCTCCACTCGTTTATATAAAGCATCATGCGTATATATCTTGTGAAAAGGATTGTTCCTTATGACTTGACCCATGTGCCGCAATAAATCTAATTTTAAAAAATAAACATTTGTTTTTTTATTTTACTGTCCGGCAGCACGAGTCAAAATGGTTCAATCAAGTGTAAATAAAGAGTTTTTCCGGACGCCTGACACAATGTCACAAAGTTGTGACAAAGATGTTCTTCTGAAGCTGCCGTCCACCAAAGATAAAAACAAAGATGAAGTCGATATCAAATTTATTAAATTACAGATTCAACCATTTAGTCTTGTAAA